TCTCCCGAGTGTGAATCCTTTTATGAGAAGTAAGATTACCATTCTGAGCAAAACTCTTTCCACATTGCATGCATTTATATGGCTTCTCTCCTGTGTGGACTCTGTTATGAGCAGTAAGATTACTATTCTGAGCAAAGCTCTTTCCACACTCCATGCATTTAAATGGTTTCTCTTCTGAGTGGATCTTTTTATGGGAAGCAAGATAACTGCGTTGAGCAAAGGTCTTTCCACACTCCAAGCATTTATATGGTTTCTCTCCTGTGTGGAGACTTTTGTGGATATTAAGATTATAGTTACGACTAAAGGTTATACCACACTGCATGCATTTATATGGTTTCTCTTCTGAGTGGATCTTTTTATGGGAAGCAAGATAACTGCGTTGAGCAAAGGTCTTTCCACACTCCAAGCATTTATATGGTTTCTCTCCTGTGTGGAGACTTTTGTGGATATTAAGATCATAGTTACGACTAAAGGTTTTACCACACTCCATGCATTTATATGGCTTTTCCCCTGTGTGGATCACATGATGTGAAGTAAGACTACTTTCTCTAATAAATGGTTTTCCACACTCCATGCACTTATATGGTTTCTCTCCCGTATGCCTCTTTTTGTGGATAGTAAGTCCATTGCTATGAATAAAGATTCTCCCATACTCCATGCTTTTAAATGGTTTCTTTTTTGCTACTTGGAGGCACTGGGCTGCTTGGGCTACAGGTGCTTCTGAACATTGTTTCTCCCCAGTGTGAATCCCTTCATGGGAAGTACGTTGCCTGCTTGTTCTACAATGTTTTTCAGATTCCAAACATTCATTAGGGTTCTTTTGGAATAATTCACAGGAATCTTGATTCTCCTGCCCGTTATTACCTTCAAAGGAAAAGATAAATGAAAATGATAACAAGTTAGAAACAGATCAAACTATAGAAAGTCAACAGATTTTCTTCTGAATTTTTTCGAAATTCCATTCGGTTGTATATTTGCATGACTATAGTGCTGTGATAAAGACATGATTTCTATATTCATGAGTCATAAAACTTTGAAAATACCTAGAAAATATCTCTTTCTTTTCAATTATCTATATATATGCAAATCTCACTCAAAGTCAGTTTTGAGTTAAGGAATAATCAAGGGAAATATCCAAGAAGGAATTAGGAGAAAACTTAAGATTTATTGGAGTGGGTTAATTTCAGCAGAGACCTGTGAGAACTAAAACAATTTTGAAACAAGCCCCTTCCCCGGTGTACCTTGGAGCAGCTTCTCTGTGGCATGGACTACAAAAAGATAGTAGACTCACTATCTTCTTGTGGTTAGTAAGTCAACTGCTCAGAGCAAAGGTCTTTCCACACTCCATGCATTTATATAGTTTCTGTCCATTCTGGATCTTTTTCCTTGCAGAGAACAGAGGCCAAACCTTATTTAGTGCAAAATGTGAGACCAATAGTGCAAGATCTCAGGCTACTGATCTCACATGATCTCGCACTGCAGGGTTTTAGGTCTGGGTTTTTTTGGTAACTGAGAACTGCACAAGATCCCAGGCAAAATTATTTGGAAACGAAGAGGCCTTCCCTTCGTTTGCAAAGCATTTTGCCCTGGATCACATGCAGGCCTTGGTTAGCAGAGAACAGAAGCCTAAAGTACTGTAGTACAAGATTACGTGAGAACAATAGTGTCAGCACTCCTTCATTGAGTAATTAGGAAAGAAAACCACAAGACTCCATTGATAGAAATCAAGTGTACTTTTACTA